CTCCACTACCCTCCTCGGCGCTGGACTCCTCCAGCGCTGTGCCTCATGGCCGATGAGCAGCGCAGCTGCAGTCTCGAAATAGCGCAGCAGGGAGTCTCCAAAATAGCGCAGCAGCGAAGTTCCTGAACCAGCATAACGCTGGWTTTCTCCTGGTACCTTYTGTTCACGAACTGGGCAACGRCCCARCTTAAGTAGCGCTGGGCCAGGACTGAAAACCCACGGCCTGCGTTCTGGACCGTGCAKATCGACACTCCGATCCACGGTCCAGATCACAGGCTTTGAAACTGGTTCAGTCCTTGGCCTAAAACGGCCTGCCTGGGTCCCTACCGGACGTCCAGGCCCTGTCCAGGATTCAGTTTCCTGGTACCTGGCTTCGAACCGGTCCTGTGCGGACGTACCCGGCCTCAACGTCGGCCTGGGTCCGAACAGGTAGAATCTGTTCGAAAACAAAAGAAAAGGTCCAAACGTTTTTAGGAGCTCAGCCTCTBGGCCTGAWTCTGGCCCTGGTMCTAAAACGTGTACCTGGCCACAAAACGGACAACAGTACAACCGTTAGAAAAACAACAGCAATAAATAAAAATATAAAATAATCTAAAGCTGGCGTTTTTCTGATGCAGGCCCAAGTAAAAATGCCATAGGGCCTTCAGGTTGCGGTGACGCGACCTGGGGGCCCTATTCCAACCTCGGGTCCCGTGAGGGGCCCGTGTGTAGGCTTTCAGCATGTAACACACACACACACACACACACACACACACACACACACGCACACACACACACACACACACACACACACACACACACAAAGGGGGTCCGAAATCCCCCGAAATTCCCCGGGCCCCTGCCAGTCACCCGGGCGGCCCGGATCCCCACACAGGTATTTTACTATTTTAGTATTTTCTGCTTTGAATTGGTGTTCTCTGTATTATTGTTCAGATTGTTTACTGTATGAAATATTCTCGAGTCCGATGCCTGACATTCTGTGTTCGCCTCCCTTTTCGCCTTCTGCCCTCGTGCTTTCTGAGCAGGAAATTATGGGACCGATTCCTGAAGGATATGACCATTACTTCCGTTTGCGGTTTCCCAATCTGCTGATTGGTGTGTACAGAGTCTTGTATGAGTTCTGCCGAGACGAGAAGCAAATGCGCCGGTATTTTAAATTGCAGTTGGACAGTTTCAGCTGATGGCGGCTTCTGATCCCGCTCTTACTGTTTTGCGAAGATGTTTTCTTGTGTCGTCACTTCCTAGGGGTGTTGCAGTGGCTTTTTGAGTTACTTTTGAACTGGGTTTGACTTCAACTGGATGGTTGAGTTAATGCCTTTCCAATAGCAGGGGGAGGGTGAGGACGGGGAAACTCCGCAAAAAATATTTCAGGTGGTGCGTGGACTGGGGCTGGGCCCAAAGCCTCGTCCGATGTCCTGCCAATAGTCTGCAGCATGTGGGCCTATAGCTACTATGCCGCTATTGAAAAAAGTGTGCGGCCGAACTTCACACAAGCCCCATCCCACATCCTGCCAATAGCCTGCAGCATGTGGGCCTGTAGCTACATCCCTATTGGCGAAGTGTGCGGCTGAACTTCACACTAGAGGCATACGTACGGCTTACCTTCAACTAGCAACAGTAGAGGAACCAAGCATGCCATAAAAGCACATTCATAGAGGATGTGGGATGTGGATGTTATTGAAGAAGGGAGGAGTGTCGGAGGTGGGGGAGAGGGACAACACTTGCTGTGGTCTGAAACAAGGACAGTGCTGTTGGTGTTCCGTCGTTCCCGTTGCTCGGTGCTGAGGCAGGAAGTAGCTTGGTCCCTCCTTCTGTCCCTCCTTTCCAGCATGCTGTCTTGGCAGAATAGAGGTGTAAACGTTTCTTATTCAGGAAGAAAGGGTGTTGGAGATGCTGGGATCAGTGTCGGTGCCGCTGCTTCTCAAACCACGACGCAAGAAGTTCCTTGCTGCATGTAGCGGTTCACCATCGTGGAAAGGTAGCTATGAGCGCGCATCAGTTTTTGCAGTGTTAAGTGCTTATGCGCAGGCAGCCCTTTGTGAGCTCAGTGGTTAGAAGACAGAGAACCCCATCAAGTTGAAGCCCGTTGTGTTTCCTTTCTCCACTGGCCAGTCTTCTTTTGTGCATATGTCCATTCCAAATCTGCTCAATGAGCCTTGCTCCACTACACAACGTTCTAAATGACTATAGGCAGGAAAGCGGTCCTGATGCATTCGGAATTTTTGGTGAGTCAGAATGTATCTGGTCAAAATGCAGCCCAGATGCGTTTTGAATGGTGCGTAGTGGAGCGAGGCCTGATGTATTCAGCAATTCTATGCACTCTGGCGTCAGGTCTGCGCTGATGTATTATGCCAATCGACGTGCAGCCTGCATGCAATTGTGACTTCTGGATTAACCAGGCTAAACACTAAGAAGACCTTCTCTTCCACTTCCTGTGTGTTAGCTCTTTGCACCATGCGGCAGTGACCGTCTTGTGGAAACTTTGCATAATGCAGACTTGTTCCTTTTTTTCCCTTCCACTGTCCTCTGTGACGTTAGGTACCTGTGCACCACTTTGTGTACAGAATTACTCTTTTGAGTTTAGTTGAGAATCTGGAGGTAATCCAGAGTTGATTTTTGCAGCTGCTTTTGCTTATGGCATCTTGGGTGCCTTCCTTGAATATACGACTGGCTGTGGTGAAGGCTGTATGCAATCAGAGTGACTGTAGATGCGACACTACCAAAGGGGGTGGCTGCCCACTCCATCCAATCCTGATTTCGTCGTGAAGATCCAATGTGATATTCTGTCGGGTCATTCCTTCCTTCGCTAGAGCGGGATCATTGGTGAAATTGGTGTGGAAGCTCTCCTCGTTTCTATTCCACTAGTCTCAGGAGAGAGAAATTTACAGACGCACTATGTACAGAGGGATGTGCTGACATGCAAGTTTGTGGGTGTGTACACACACACACACACACACACACACACACACACACACACACACAGAGAGAGAGAGAGAGAGAGAGAGGGGGGGG